GCTGAGCAGTCTGGTGGCAGTCCGATGCTGTCTTGTTTCGGACTTTTTATGTTTCGTGTTTTCTTTTCATTCTTCTCCACTTGCAGGGGGGAAAAGACAATAGAAGAAATGTGTTCTCGGCATCGAATATACCCCAATTTATTGACTGGCGACTCAAATTATTGTCCAGTTTCCAGCGTTGGGTCATTAGAGACACTCATTAGCCCGAAGCTATCTGAGAGAGATAACCCCTAATGTATCACATTGACCCAAACTGCATTCTACGAGTATTCAAATGCGACGGACGGCTCGCTGCACAGAGATGGGCGTGAGCGTAATATATAGAAGTGTGTGTGTGTGTGTGTGCGTGATTCACGGGCCAAGATAATGAGTACCATATGTAGGTATGTGTGTGTATGTTTACAAAAAAGTGATGTGTGTATGTTTATTCCGAATAACTTTCAAAGTGTGTTCACGTCAATGAAGTAGGAGCCATATGCCATGGTCAGACAGGCAAATAATTTATTTATTTATTTATGTCGGCGATGAAAAGGAAATCTAAATCAATGTACTTGTAGGATACAAATAACTTTAAAATATGCTTTCAAAAATAGTAGAGTCTGTGTTGCACCTAAGCTTTAGGCTATTTTCCAAATCTGTGGCTGGCTCAGAAAGTTTCTGAGCTAGTTAATAATATACATATATGGATTTTTTATATTATTTACTTAAAAGGTAATAAAAAGTGTCTCTCTATTATTTGTGCTCATAAGCATGCAGAGGATTCATGGAAGTAGATTTTCGTTTCTCTTGAAAATGCGATGCTGTAGCTTCCTTCAACTTCGAGTGTGTCTCTCCAGGGTTCAATGTCTGAACAGGCATACTTGGTACACTTATGTGACTATGGACTGTTGTCCATGTAGTGGCGAAAACAGCAGCACATGCTGATGTTCTTCAAAGCCATTTCGCCAGTTCATACGAGTAGTCAGCGACTTGAACGGACCTCTGCAGTTCTTACGACAGAAATATTCCTTTCGCCACTACGTTTCGCCCCGTGTCAAGAGGTTTTTGCATTTATTGATTGATATTGGCAATGAATGTGTGATTTGTTTTAGGAGCACGCCCACTCGCTTTACTAGCACATCCCACATTCTGAGACAACGCTATTCATAGAGAACTTTAGCTCGACACTGAGAAAGTTCAAGTGCGAGCGTTTGCAGCTGCCAATAAAAACCACCTAACTCCCCTCTGCTGCATTCAATCTGAAAGGCATGATGCACCAGCATTACTTACTAATGACGATGACATAAAGCTCATCGTTTGACTCCGCAAAATCTCATCAAACTGAGCGACGACCACACTCGGAGAAAAACTGGACTGCTTTATCCCAAATACTTGCGTATATGTATAAGCTGTACTATTTAAGAATATGTTTTGTTTTTTGATGAGTATTTTAAATAGAAGAGGGCCAACCCTTTTATTTTTATTATTTTGAAGGCATCATCTATATTGAAGCTATTATTTTATTTACAGAACCTGATTGTAGATATTGAAATCATAAACTAGTCATTGTTTAAAAGCTTAAAAGCGAATCCTTTTTTCTGGTGAAAATTAACTGTACGACTCTGTATAATGCATAGTTATAGTCGGATCATCACAGTCGAACTTGATCTTCTGGGCGCTTCAAGAGTTTGCTCAAAAAAGCTACAAATTTGTACTACAGATGTTATCAGCCAAGCTCAAATTTTCACAAATTGGCAGCTTTTGCAATATTTATGCTTCCACATCCATCACAATTTCTTGGCGAAATGGAAGGTAAATGAAAAATATCGGATAAACAATCAATGGGTTACTTTTTTAAAACGGTTCATAGAATCGGCAGTTTTATAATATTTACTATTTCTATAACTATAACTGAACATCTTAGCAGCGGAAGGTAGACAACAATTCCTTGGAGTTCCCTCATATGTCCATCAAGAGTGAAATCAAAAAGGAACTCTTTATTGTATTTATACGATTTGCGTTCTACTGCCAAAACGGTCATTATTATTCGACTCTGAGATATACATATGTAAATGTGATGATAAACACAATCAGCTGTTTCCGTAATCGAAATCACATGACTCCGGTAATAAAAACGCACAAGTTTGTGAAAAAGGGGGGCACAGCTGATTATTTTAAAAAGAGAAATCGCTTCCAAGTATATTTCTATTTTGTTGGGGTCTAGAAAGCGAAAACATTTTTCTGTGTGCAGATTTGATTTGCATGTCAAGAGAATAGCGGAGGACAGCAGAGCAGAGAAGTGGAGCTAGGAAGGGAAGTGGTGGAGGGGGGGGGGGAGGGGGTAGGGGGCAGGGAGCATGAAAGATTCAGTTAAAATTTGCTCATTCAAGTCATTCAATTGCTTTGTTGCACTTGTTGTAATAATTTGATTGACTTTGATGTTCACGCAAAGACGAAATTGGAGCTCAGGCATCAGCACCACAACAAAATAACAACAACAACAGCAATAACATCACTCGTCAGCAGTGACAGCAAAGGCAATAGCAACAACAACAATAGCAACAACAAGAACCGTAGCATTTCATAACTGCTTACTAGTACCTACATATTTGTTGCTGTTGTTGTTGTCGACGTCGTCGTCATCTTCGTAGCTGTTGTCGTCAAAAGAAGAAAAAGAAGAAGAAGAAGACGACAAAGATTTTCTACTACTATTTTTTAAGTACATCGTCGACCGCTAATTGAATTCAATTTGCATGCATTAGCGTTCATAGAAAAAGCCATAAAAAGCGCTGATGATTTTTTTTCACTCTTCATTTATTTCTCCTTTTTGCTGCCTATCTATAATACTCACTAGTTGTTGTTGTTGACGTTGTTGCTGCTGCTGCTGCTGCTGCTGCTACTACTTAAATGTTAGCATATGATCATGCTTCGTTATTATTATAACACGTACATACTATGCACATATGTATGTACATATGTATATATTCTATAATTATCTGCACTGCAAATCACAATTGTTGTTGTTATTTTTTTTACTGGTTGGCCGGCGATCGTTTATTTCCAATCAGTTGATAGTAAGAGACATAAATGTTACGCATATTTGTTCGCATGATTCATTGTTTGTACCCCAATTATTCTTGCGCTGGTCTGTGCCTGTGAGCATCAAGTTACGATTATTAAAGCCTCGAAAAAGTAAACAGAATCAGTCAACAAGGGAAGCATTTTTGGCAGGCTGGGAAGACGGCTGGCAAGTCTGAGTTCTTTTTTCTCGGACCGGCTGCATTCGCGCTATTTTTAGCAACTCTAAGTGCCGGCGATTTGTCCATCGCGTCCTGTCGTGATTAGCCAGCGCATCCGCTGCTGTAGCTTGTAATTTATGTAAATGGCCACAAGCTCGTACATAATGTTGTAAGGCCATCGCAACAAATTAGAATTGAATGCTAATCAGAGTGATGGATGGTAGGGGGAAGGCAGACCTGGAATTGGATGAACGCGTCTTGGCGTACTTGAAATGCTTCAGGAGAAAGAATTTCGAGCGGAAACCTTATTATATGTTTTATATAGAATTTAATAAATGCTGCTGAAGGAAAAATTGTACTTTTCAATTCTTTAATTCTTACTCCACTTTTTGGAGAGAGCTTATAATTCTTGATTTCTTGGACCAACAATTATTTCGGCTCATTAGAATTCCGTTCGGCTATACCAAAATACTATAGTTTTTCAGACTTGTTCAGCACTTTTTTCTCATCTCATTGAAAATAAATTTATTTATTTTTGTACTGTTTCATGAAACATGAGTGAGAAAATAAACATTTTTCTATAAGCGTACTTAATTTGATTCAAAGTTTTATGAAAGCAAATGTTACATATTTGAAATAGCACGCAGCTGTAAATTTGGAGGCATATCTACTCCTAAAGTCATCCTTATTTATACTTCAAAATTGTAATAATAAAATCGCACAAAATGAAATACAGTCGGTCTTAGTTTTGAAACTTTTTTTTCATGAGTGTGGGCATTTATTTTGAATTTTCAAAAATTCACATAGATCTTTTCTTGATGAATTCTAATTCTGCTTTAACTTTTTGCTTAATTAAGTTGGGTGTGGATTCGAAATTTGCGCGGGTAATTGACAAATCTTGTGAGGGTCGGGAGAAATCAATCAGTACTTCAATTATTGTGGACAGCGGTGTGTAGAGACCTGTGTGTTCGAATCGTTATATTGCGATCCCAGGTGCGTGTGATTGTCCTGCAGATGTTACTGGACATACTATAGGTAGGTAGTCGACTGCTATGAGGCTTACTCGTGTTTCTAAAAGCCCATAAGTGGGTACGTATTTAATTTTTTTTATTTTTATATTTTTGCCCCATTAAGTTCCTATGTAATTGTTATTTGTGTGTGTATGTATGTAGGAAAATAATAATCTGGATGTGAAATTTGCAAGGGATTTTAATTGATAAGCATTTTTCTCTTACTTAGACAGCAGTCGTGTGTATCTTTAACCATTTTCAAAGCTTAGTAAATAATTGAATAGCGAATTGAATGAGATATATGCCATTTTTAATTTAAATTGTTTATTTTTGCAACTTCCCTTTTTCAAAAAGAAATGTGCAGAACTGTATTAAAAACGCCGCCTAAAAGTATGCAACAAAATATGGCAGGCAAACAAGTCTGTAGTTGCAGTCCCCATTGGTGTAAGCGGGCGATTATTTTGCTCGCTGCTTCTCTTTCCTTCCAATGAAGCTCAGCACACAGCGCCGACCCTCGTTGTTGTTGCTGCTTGCAACACACAAGCGATCACACAAATAGGTACACAAATCAGCCAAAATATGAATACTATACACAGAAAAGTATTGGCGGAATAAAAAATCCAACTGCGTGCCTCTTTTAGTTAGGAAATTATTGGGGCTTGTGTTTGGCTTTTAAAATGAAACATACATTACTTATTAAGGTTACAATTCTTTTAGACTTGGTTCATTGAACTTTCTATAATTTGCTCTTTGATTCATTTATTAAATCCAGTGTCCCAACATCAAGCGCCACTTAATGAAGCAACGAAGCAACTCCCGTGAGTCGGACAATTTATCCAACGCGCCCTCCATTGCTCGAATTAATGGCTGTCTGATGGACAGCGATGATGAGGATTTTCTGCCCGAATCCGTCCGGGGACTGCCACACGAGGCGCAGGATGTAATGCAGCGTCTCCTTAACTTGGAGCCGCGGCTGCGAATCCGTAGCATCCTGGCGCTACAGCGCATTGCTCTTTACAAGGGCTACAAGCTGGAGGCGAAGCATTTGTTAAGCGTAAGTCTATAAAATTGTTAGTCCTATATGTGCGTAGAGGTGCATGCTCATCACATATCCACCATTTAGCTGAAGCCGTTGGACATAATTGCCAAGGACCGCATTCACATCTATGAGGACCAGCAGCCGCCGGAGCAGTGTTCCAGGGAGCTAGCCAAACAAGCATTCCGTGACTTCTAAAAGGCGACCACTTGCCCAGCCATATGAAGAAACACTTTAAGTCATTTTTATTGAGTATTGTTTATTTTATATGTGTGTTTAAATTTCTCTTTTAAGTTTCTTAGCGAAGTTGTGAATAAATTATTGAAATGCCATTTTTATAAATTGAACCGATTTCTTTGAATTAAATGGAATTGTGTGGGAATATTGGTGAGGAAGTATTTTTATTTGATTTGTTTAGAATATAAATTGCAATCATTGTTGGTTTGTCAGGCATAAGAATCAAAATCTGTTGAAACAATTGGGGTGGTTGGTTGGCCAAGTGCCGCAGGATATTTTTTGTATTGAGAGTTCAAGCTTCCTTTTGTTTGATTCAGCGAGCTTTATCTCTTTTTTGGTGTTGTCGTAAGCTTTCAGGTCAGAGCTTGGGAAAAGCTCAGCAGCTGACAGGAGCTTTGACATTATCCTTGCTGCCAGTGACAGGCGCAACGCTCACGCACAGACACAAACACATCTGGTGGATATATCTGTGTGTACATGTGTGTGAGTGTGTGTGTGTGTGTGTGTGTGTGTGTGCCATGTGTGACTGAGTGTGGGAGAGTGAGACCTGAAAATTGTTGCAGAGCAGCGGCAGCAGCGCCACTAAATCGGAGTAGCAGTAGCAACAGAAAAATAGAAAACTCATTTAATTATTACTTCCGCAAGTTAGATGTAAAATCGAATGAACTTCCTTCCGAAATCGAAACAACGACAACGACAGCAACAACAGCAACAGTAACCGTAACAGCAACAACAATAGAACAATGCGTGAATTTGTGTCCCGAAAAGTGCACTGTGAAAATTTTGCTGAGCTAGCGTAAGCGCGCGCATACACACAGGAAGGCAGGCGAACGGGCGTGCTCTCTCACCGCCAGGGCACAGGACACGGGACACAGGACACAGGACATTTGCTGGTGCTGGTATTCAAAAATGCACAATCTCGCCGTGTAAATTTGTCATCGAATTGAAAATTTTAGTTTGCTTCTGAGCTCCGGCAAAATGTGCAATCTCTGGATATGGACGCCGCTTAAATAACAGCAGGCGGTTCAGGCCACCCACGCGCCTACGTCGAGCATCCAAGAACACTGAGGTAGCAGCAGCGGCAGCGGCAGCAGCAGCAGCAACAGCTCAGCAGAGATGGCTCTAGAACACACATTTCTGGGAACCTGGGAGGTTTGTAAATGGATTTGAAAGCCCGCCTGAAGTTCCCCACTCACTTCATTCTTTCCATTACCTGTGTCTTCCTTCCACAGATTGTCTCCTGTACTTTCGAGGGTAAACGCGAGATATCCGGACTGGAAGGGTAAGTTGAAATATCGTGGCACATTTAGACTCTTCCCCAACTATTGCTCCATTCGCAGCATCAAATTTCGCCTTGACGACACCAGCGACATTACTTGGTACAATGATCTGGTCAGTCCAATTCCTGAAACAAAAGACTGCGGCACTTGCTGTGACTCGGCAAGTGTTTTATTTAGTTGTGAGACCTTCGATGTGCACGAGCTCAATCCGCGTCTTATATTCGGCGCGTTTGCAGGGCACAGCATTGAGTTCAGCGTAAGTAATACTTCCTTCCCCTATCGAACAGTTGTGGCTTTTATCTCGGACTTTTCTTTGGCAATCTCATCTGCGAACGTTTTTGAGAATGTTGGATTGCATGAGGTTCTTAAAAGTGTAGTGATGCCTTCCAAGTTTCTACTAAAAGTTTGTACTAAAAGGAAGCCATATCATATACTAGATTCGATCTTGCAAGACTTGTTCATTCTAATTCGAAATAATTGGTGTGGAATTCCAGTGAGATGTTTAAATGGGACTATCTTTTCTATATTTCTTTTTGTTTGCAGACCAACACGCTGACACCGACTGATACTTTGGTGCTTAGCTGCGAGAACTGGTATGCTGTAGAGTGCAAGCGACTGCAGGATGGGCAGGCAGCTGGCCAGGAGAAGCAGTTCACCTTTGGCGAGGCCCTGCAGGAGACCTACTTTAGCGATGTGGTGGTGAAGAGCTCCTGCGGTCTGGAGTATGCGGTGCATGCCTCGATTCTCCGCCTTAACGGCTTCGATTGCAGCATGTGCGCCAACACTCCCTTGGCTCGGAATAGCGTTAAGCATTGCTTCAGTGGACCCACAACGCCCAATCCCATACGCATCTCGGTGGCCCCCGTTCTGGGAGGGGACGAGGACGAGCCACAGCAGCAGCAGCAGCAACAACAACAACAACAATTGCAGCACCAGCAGAAATCGCTGCCACGTTTGAATCTGTCGCCGATTTATTTGCAACCGCCTTGCGATTTCAATGCTTTGGCGCCGCCGGCTCAGGGCTTGGGAGCCCATCGCATGCATCACTTCTCCAACTCCTTCAATTGCTTGAGCAATGGCAATGCGCCTGTTGGCAATGCGCTGCTCACCGCGGAGAGTGGAGGAGGGGGCGGAGGCGTAGGCGGAGGCGGAGGCGTCGGTATGCGTCGTTATCCACCCACATCGCATTCCGACTCGCATTTGGAGGCGACAACGCAATCGCATTGCAAGAATATATTCAACTTTTGTCAGGATTTGATGCTACAGCCATCCTCAGATGTTTGTGCAACAACGGCGGGCGGCTTAAGTGCTGGACTAGGCGTGGCGTCTGTGTGTGGAACACGTAGGCCGCCTTTGTCTCCATATCGTGCGCGTAGTCCTTCACCATTTCCCAGCTCGATGGACACACCACCTTCGTCGCCATTGACGCCGGTCGGCGTGCTCTACAACTTGCCCACTTTCCTGCTCAGTCCCATTCTCCATTGGCTGTACACAGAGTCCTTGCTGCCCGATCTGGACGAGGATGTCTGCGAGAAGCTGATCAATTTTGCCGAAACGCAGCCATCGCTGATCAAATTGGTGGAGCCTACGCGCAAGTACCTGAGGCTGATGCGCCTAAAGAAATGTGAGTAGAGTTGCCAAAGAGAGGCTCTGACTTTTTCTGACTCTTCTCCTTAATGGACATTACAGTTGTAGTCAACGTCACCATGGACTTGCACGGCATATTCAATCGCGTCATACAGTCCATCAATCCGTTGACCATCTCGCATGAGCCTGCTCAGCTCTATGCCACGTTCCAGGATGCGCTGCGCGAGGGCGCAATAGGTGAAGAAGGAAAAAAATAGCTCCAAAAGTGCATTTCAATAAAGTCCAGTCTCCCTCTGTCTCTCTCTCTCTCTCCCTGATAGGTTGTGCCAAAGTCTTGCAGTTCTGCAATATCTTCATCAAGGATGCCACGAGCATGGCCCGGTACCAGAAAAACGAAATCGTCAAATATGTGCGCACGCGCATTCCCATTTTCATGTCGCAGGCGCAGCAACTGTTGCGCAACATCCTCAGTGTCTTTGTGGGTCTCAGCGTCGAAGAGAAGGCAGAGTTGGTTAACTATCTAGTACCTGAGGTGGGTCCACCACTCCAACCTATTCCTTTTGATGTCCTTTATGACTTTGCCCCCCGTTGCCTTTCAGATCGAGTCCACATTGTTGATTTTAACAGCTGTGATAGAGGAAATCAAAAATTCATTAGAAACCATGTGCAAAGTAAGTTTCAATTCCCCCTGCTCGACGGCCTTGTGCTTAGTGCCTAATGAATATCTCTCTACGACAGGACTTGAAGTGCTCACATCTTGATCAATCGCTGAAGCAGCAGTCGGACGACAACATTGCCATGCAACTGCAGCACAACAACTTCATTGGTGCCGATTTGAATCCCAGTGTAGGCGTGCCAGGCTCCGTAACCCTTTTTGGCCAGCCGCCGCTCTCACCGCGTCCGCGTCGGGGCCCTCCCGTTGGTCTCACGCTCTACAGCAATCCGACGGAAAAACAACGACTCACGGCGGCCGAGAACGATCTGAAGTTCGTGCTTTATATGTACGAGGTGCGTAAGATGCGTGACATTTATGGACGTATAGCTGCCGCTCTGGACGTTATCAAGGACAAGAAGTAAGCAATCCCATAAAATATATGGGCATTCCAAACGCCCAACTGATGCTTGCTCCCCCTCGCTCCAATTTTGCAGAAGCACCTTTTGCGACATGGACTTTCTTAGCAAACGCAGCACAATTAATCAAAATCTAGAGCAGCTTATTGTCGACATACCCGCGTATATATTCATTGTGGAGAATCTGTCGGACAGACTGGACGACAAGCTGGGCTGGAAGGAGTTCAAGTTCTGCTTCAAGCTGGCCACAAGTCAAATTGTAAGCCTCGTCCACTAAGGTCCACTTTGAGGTCGTATCTGATATGATTCGTTTCTCCACAGAATGGTGTCATTGTTAAGCTTCTGGACCATAAGGCAGCGCTGAGAGATGCTGTCAATCAGGTAGGTATTTCTACTTGACCAGTAAATTAGAGTAATTAGAGGGCAGTAGATGAAGGCATACTCCACCCAATATCGAAGGACAAAACATGAAGGATGAACGCACCCGACTCTAGCACTCCATTCTTAATTTATTTTCTTTTTAACAAATATTTTCTGCTCTATAGATTTGCAAGTTGGTGCACAAGCAGGAGTTCACACGCTCGCTTATCGAACTGGGACTGCTGGAGCACTCGAATGTGCTGCAACACGAGCTCAATCTGGCCGATCACGAGAACAATCTGGGACTAAGTGACGTGGACAGTGTGTCGATGGAGCGCAAGTATCTGTACGATTACAGCAACACCAAGGTTTGTGGGGCACCTATCTCTGTCCTTAGAGTCGCACTCTATTTCGCGGTCTATCTCTCTGTCTCACTCAGCTTAACCTAATACGGCACTTGTGCGAGCCACCGATTGCGGCCAACAGCAATCTATCGAAGAACGCGCTGCGTTTGCTGCACTCCGGTCAGCTGGCGGACATGGAGTTTGAGGTTCACACCTATGCACCGATCAGTAGCGGGGTCCTGGCCATCACACCAGGCACCACGCAGGCCTCACAACCCGAAATAGCCGGGAACGCAAGCACATCGACTCTGCAGGTGCACAGCTTCAAGGCGCATCGCGTCATAGTCGCCGCACGCTGCGAGTGGTTCAAGAAGGCTTTGATGTCCGGCATGCAGGAGTCCATTAATAGGTGCGCTTAGCGGAGAGTATACTTGTAGAGTTGCAGGGCTATGTCTTATTCACCATTTGTTTCTCTATTTATTTGCGAGCACAGAAAAGTGGTCATCACGGACACCTCGCCGGTTATCTTTCGTCGGCTGTTGCTCTACCTCTATGGTGCACCCATTGATCGCACTGTTGGGGCCGAGCAGATATGCGAGCTCATGCTTTTGGCCGATCGTTACTCCATCGATGATCTTAAGGTGAGTTACCACTATTCAGACTTGTAGAGCTATCCTTGTACAACTTTCCCTTGCTGATCAGGAATTGTGCGAAAACACGCTGAACTCACTAATCGATGAGGACTCGGTCATCTGCTTGTTGGGCATTGCCGACCGCTATATGGCCACTGCATTGAAGTCCAACTGTCTCTCTTTTCTCTCGCAACACGCGACGCTCACTAAGAGCGAAATGTTTAAGGAATTGCCGCAGACCTTACAGGTAAGCAATCGGGGAATTATATGCAGCTATTTAAATGATTAATAGGTAGATTTTAGATTTTTAGATTTTTAGCTGGTGGGGGAGAACTTGGAGTATTGCCGTTTCATAAATTAGAAAGTATTCTCTTTTTCTTTTGTGCTCTAGCTAGACTTCAATTTATATTGAAATGTGTTGAACTAATTGACTTAAGTCCTTCTCGATATCAATGTGCTAATTCCCATTTTGTGACTTTGCAGTTAGAGGTCATGGATTTGATACATTGGTTCGGTCGCGTAGCCGAACCCTGGAACGATCGGGGCTTCAAGCCGCGCAGCAGTTCGCGACATAGCCTCAAGAGTCCCTCAAAGCCCCGCTCCCGCTCGCGTAAGTCCTCGCCTTCCTATATGTGACGCTGACAGAGTGCGATCGAACCGAATGCAAACCTATTGCATAAGTAATTGGGCAGGAGATCGAGATCGACAGCGAGAACGAGAACGAGGACAAAGGCGAGGACGAAATAGAAGACTTGGTTAACTTGGAACTGAACGAACGATGAGACGGAATGGAGGTGGCGCTTCTGCTGATCGATGAATAATATATAGAGTACATATTGGGGCATCCAGTATGTTAGTATGGTGCAGGGGCAGGTAGGAACGTAAGAAGTACTTATATATTTAACACTGGAACCTAGGGCCAGGTCTCGAATGATGGAAATGGAAAATTGAATTTAATTGTAACAGCAAAGAAAACATGAATTATGTATATGTATGGATTATACAATGTATTTATGGCACGTTACATATGTATATAGGTTAAATATGTACTATATATGCCATTGTTTATCAATTTTTTACATAGCTAATTGAAGACCCTGAACAAAATTTATACATACATATATACAACAAATCTAACAAAATTGTAAGTGATTCAGAAGACATGGGAAAGGACATCGTGTTTTTAAATTAAATTAATTACTAGCACACTCCATCTGAGGAAAGAACTCGTATTCGTTTTTGCAAAAGAATTTTCAATAGACATATAGTTGCTGTTATAGGTACATATACATTTACATATACTGTGTATGTGAAGAAAACGATAATTCTATGGAACAAAATGATGTTTGTTTTTATTGCTATTTGGTTCTAATCTTTTTATTTGTAAACATAGCCCTTTTTGAACATATTTAGATGTGCGTGTGTGTATCTGTCTGTAAGTGTCATTTATTGAATTTATATAGAAATATTATGTGTTCGGCATTTGTACTTGTATGTTTGTGACTTTATCTCTCAGAGTGTATATTTTGCCTCGTCCTCTTTCTGTGTATAGTGTGTCGGATATTCAATATATTTTGTATCATACTTGTATGTAAGTGAAAATAAAAAACAAATAAAAAACACAACAACATTGCTAGAACCCTGAGCAATGAGAAAGGGCACTACTAGAGCAGATTAAGTCAAGTCAAGTCAAATCCAGCAACCTCTATGGCTAATAATCGCGTCAAAAAACAAAACGAGATCAAATAAATATGTGTACATACCCGCTCCCCCCAATATAGTATACTACACGATTGCTTCTGAACGAACAGACAAATCCAAATGAATAATCCAGCAGCCAAATAGTAATCCCCAGAAGTTGCCGATGACAGCTTCGAAATCCTTAAAAACAAAAATACACCCGACACACGCAACGATTGCAGAGCGTTAAGGTTCCGTGCTCAAAAAAGAGAAGACGGCTGACAATTCGATGTTTAAGTCATCAGATATATGTATATGTTTTAACTAAGTGTAAGTTATACCGTTTGAATGTTTATCAACACAAAATATAAATAAAGAAAACTTAAAAATTGAGAACTTGAAGGGTATATGCGAAACAAAGTGATGTGTAGAAAATATTATACTACTAAAGATGGAAAACCAAACCAAAACATTATTATTGTGTATATTTAATTATGTACTATACCTATTCAATATATATTTCTTGTTGTCTTTTAAAAACAAAAACAAAAAACGAAAATGGAAACAAAACTCTTTGAATAAATTCTGCGAATAAAATCAACTGAAATTATACAGCTATACATGCATATATACAATTCAAAAATCAATTGCGTTTTATTTCTCGTTCTCGTCCTGATCTCCTATTCCAGAAATTAATCCGCATTCCATCTCTCGGTCAGAGCTCGATCAATTCCGATGCTTTTTCCACTTCCCGTGTGTTTCTAGGCAAGAGTAATATCGCGACGGTATTTCCAACTTAAATCAAACCAAATTCATGGCGTCTTTGCGGCTTTAAAAGTGTGGCAATTAATTTGAATGGACTTTTAAGTAACTCGAAAAATTGGAATTAATGCTCGTACGTACCTATAATGTACGTATATTTTCAGTTTATTTCCTGCACTCAATTCACTTTACTGACCACAGCAGCTTAATTTGAATTTTCATTCATGTTGTAAACCATTTAATTGACGGCCACATTCAATTATTAATTTGTTACAACATATGCAAGAGACCTTTTTCTAATTTTCACGCTATTTTTAAATGTTTTAAATGTCCGGTTCGTGACAGCACAAATACACGTTCTTGAACTTGACTTATGTACATGCGACTGTTAACTAGAACGCGTGGCCATATACGTGATATCATCAGGCTACTACACTTCCCTTTTCCATGGTTGGCCAGCTCAGCATGTCAATTATGGATTGCGTATTTATTTTATTTTTGTTAATTATTCTTATTATTATTATTATGGTGTGGAATCGGCCTGCAAACCTAAAGGCTCAACGGTTATTAAGACTAACTTAATTGGATGAAATTTTCTCTGATTTTTCTAAATAAAAATAAAGCAAATACAAAATTTAAGGTGCGATAGAAATTAAACTTAATAGTTGTTTTGGAATTATTTAATTTGAGTTAGTTTTTTTTTTAGATTGGTGAATGAAGCCTTTATAATTATTCATCAATGATGCTTGGCTACCGTAAATTTAGCTTCAAAAGAATGGCTAGAAATTGATTATCGCTTTTGGTTGTCGAGCTGGAAAATCCTCTTAAAATGGCTAGAAACACAACAAATATAAGTAGCTAGAGGGTAGGGTAGAAAATCCACTAAAAAACCGCTAGAAAATATCTAAAAAAAGCACTTAAATAGGTAGAAAACCCGCTAGAACTTGGCTATAAATATCTTTAAAACCCGCTAACAAATAGATAGAAATATTTTACCATTAGGATCGTGCTACCATGTGCTTCGAAATGTTACCAATAGGAGCACATTTCAGATTGTGCTTACATTTCAGGTAGTACCGTTAGGTTCAAGCAAGCATCTTCATTCCACAGCTGATTTTTTTTAATTTTAACTTTGCCAGCTGATCTATTCGTTATTCATTTAAGTGCACCCGTGCACCCGTACCGTGCTATTTGTTTCGTCACAGAAAAGGTTGCGGATCCAGCATTTTTTGAAAGCCCCTACATAAGAAGTTTCACTTCAGAGCTACAGAGGATAGATCGTCAATTTCGTAATTTAAAAGCATACATCTATGGAGTTGTGGACAGTTGCTGATCTAGAATTTTCTTACACACACACTTACACGATATAGTATACTTAATAGGGTTGGAGAGGTAACAAACCTAATATGCCCTACACTTTTTATGCCTATAAAATGTACTACTTGTATATAGAAAATTCTTGGACTTTTTGTATTCCATCACAATCCGAAAGTAATTTAATCGGGATGTGAAACGTTATAATGATCTGTAAACACGCTTCACTGTCTCATCTTTTGTAGTAACTGATCACAAATTTGGTCACAATTTCCTCTTACGAGTACAGCTTAGATGAGCACCAAGAAATTGAAGCCGTGGTTTTTATAATCTGCAATTTGCGACCAATTTCATTATAGACAAAAGAGATTCTTTCTAATTCTTATCGATAGTGTGCTAACTATGTGATGAAACTGTCAGATCTGGTCGGCTTAAACATGTTATCAGTGTGCCTCAAAAAAAAAACACCCCCATTTGCAAAGTTTCCAGAGCAATAGCTTTCAAAGTGGTGGCGAAGTAGTAATTGATTCAGAAATGTCGAAAACTGCATTTCAAATTAAGCATATTTTCAATCTAAAATCGCGCAATTTTTCAATCTACTATACGAGTATGTATATTAATTATGTATGTAATTAGAAGGACTTTCAACAATCACCAATAGTCCTAAATGTTGTATTTGAAAACTATACGTGCATATGTACGTCACATATTTACAAAGGTGGTTTTCTTCAAAAAGGGCCGAAAATCGTGAATTGTGTCAGCCCTGGTGCGTGAGCGGGTGCACATACATACATACATACGTATACATCAGAGAACTGCAACGAGTACTTGGTATGATTATTTCATTTGGGTATAGTGACAAGCAATGACTGGTTGCGAACGAGCCCTCAACGAACACTCAGTTCGAATCAAAACTGCAAAGACTCAGAAGTGAGCGGTTGTGCCCGAAACTTCTTGCATAAATGTAAGCAATGATTGGTTTTAAACGAACCCTCGCCAACCAGTCAGTTCGACCCACAACTGCAAAGACTCAGAAGTGAGCGGTTGTGCCCGAAACTTCTTGCATGAATGCAAGCAATGACCGGTTGCGAACGAACGCTCGCCAACCAGTCAGTTCGACCCACAACTGCAAAGACTCAGAAGTGAGCGGTTGTGCCCGAAACTTCTTGCATGAATGCAAGCAATGACCGGCTGCGAACGAACGATCGCCAACCAGTCAGTTCGACTCACAACTGCAAAGACTCAGAAGTGAGCGGTTGTGCCCGAAACTTCTTGCATGAATGCAAGCAATGATTGGTTTTAAACGAACCCTCACCAACCAGTCAGTTCGACCCACAACTGCAAAGACTCAGAATGAGCGGCGGTGACCGAAACTTTTTGCCTGCGTACAAGAAATGATCGAACTTCGTATTGTATTTACAATCATGCCCGCATGACCGAAATGACCAATGATATCGGCGGGTGCACGTGCACTTGCATTTTCTATTGTTTTTTCGGCTATTAGTTAAATAGTAACATCGTATACAAGTATGTAAATGCATATAAATTAAAGAAGCCAACAAAACTATTAGCGAAAAGAAATACCTTCCTCTTTATTTAAATTAAAAAAAGTTGTGCTATTTTAATTTATATTAATTTGTTTATTTTAAGATATTTGAGGTCCTTTTTTAAGAAATAAAATCGTGCTAAATATCATAATATAAAAATAAATATATGTATACATATGTTTTCTTTTCATTCCGTACCTCTTTATTTAAAATACCTAAATACATATACACATGTTTGCCCATAATTGCAAACAACACATGCACGCACAAATACATAAATATGTACATCCATGCATATTTCATGCGGTCAGACTCGGGTAAAACCCGCAGATACTCGAGTATTACCCGAGTTTAGCTCGCGCAAGTCTGGTTTGCTTCGATCAGGACCCAGTCACCTTAAACGAAGTGACCGAGCCTGAACTGTTCGAAAGCAAACCAGTCAAGACCGGTGCTTATTCGTAAAAATGGAAAGATTGCTCATGCAAGTTCGATCATAAGAAAAATGCTGAGAGTACTCAACTCGTTCGTGCTCGTTTGCAACCAAGCAAAGATCTGATTTGATTGAATTTTCAGCAAGGGTGGTCGAACATACTCGTTGCAGTTCTCTGCTATACATACGTGTATACGTATACGTAATGCAAGTGATACATATACACACATAACGTATACGGCACGAAGGCTAGACAGAGTTGGCATTGGGTGAAGAGAACGGCAACACACACACACACACACACGCACACACACACACACATTGAAGTGGGTTAACAAACAAACGAGGCAAAACAGCAGTAGCAGCAACGGCAATAGCAACAACAACATGAGCCCAATCATATGGAATTTTTCATGGAAAAATTATGTGTGAGCAGAGCGCGCTGTTTTTGAAAACTGAACGCTGAACGAGCAATTCTAGGGAGCCTCTGAGAAGAGATAACACGGGACAACAGCAGCCAAGCGAAGAACAACAACAACAACAACAACAACAACAAGAACAAAGAATTTCATTCATACATGGGGCTCAGGCAAGCTCAGAGAGAGAGAGAGAGAGAGAGAGAGATAGAGAGAGCGAGAGAGGGAGAGCGAGAGAGAGAGTGTCAGAATGGATAAATGGGCTGAGCAGGGCAGGAAGTGGAGTGTGCAGGGCTGGCATGACGTTGGCCTCCGTGCAGCAGCACCAACAGCGCACTCAACGCCGACAGCAGCGTCCACTTGCAACGCATCCGCCCTAAAAGAAACAGAAAACCAAAAAACAAAACCAAAAACAAAATACAAAACAGAAGAGCCGCACATACACGTATGTATGTATATAGCGTGCTCCCGCTTCCAAACTCTGCGATGGGCGCTGAGTGAGAGCAGAGCACGCTCTGGCGTTGCCATTGCCGTTAAATGTACGTCAATTTCCCGTTATTGCTTCCAGGGCTAGCGTCGCTTATGCCGTCGTCGTCGCTTTAGCTACCGCTGCTGTTGCCGCTTCTATTTCAACTCATTGCGTTGCCATAGAGGCGGGCGAGCGAGCAAGCAACCCCCCGGCATCGGTCCATTACATACGACTGGTGTACATGCACACAAATAAACTAGACGGCAGCCGAGATAGTCAGCAGAAGTACAGGCATAGTGGGCGGCATAAGTATTTGGACAGGCTAATTGCAAATTATAAAGAGAATATACATAATTCAATCGGGTGAATAAAATCTCATACTTTAAACAGTTTTCCAAGCAAAAAGTAATACAGTCAAGTGCCGACGCGTGTATAGTCCTTTCATATCGTCCAAAATTCTTCATTTGAAATAGTTTCCCCTTTAGCAACTCAGCAGCAGTGTTAATCAAATTTTTTGTCCAGCTCAGTCTATATAACTGTAAATATATGTTGAAATATTTACAACTGTGTGAGCTCCTATAATACTAAAACTAGTAAAATAGTATGTATTTGATTGATTCATGCTTTATTCCATTTCTTTTGATTCCATCTAATATATAGTATAATCGTAGTATGTTTAAATGAAAGAAGATACATCAAACAAAAGGTAATTTTTTTTCCTTTTCTATATTTCATAAAAGCATTGAATCCGTGCATAAGGGTTTACCACCTTAACAATACATTTAACAAATATATGTAAATAGCCTAATCTCGAGCATGTCCGCGCGAGTATTAACAAAAGGTAATACGTGTACCAAAAAATAGAATACCGATGTTTCTATAGATCTACGCACAATGGACAACAAATAGTAGGTTAAGGTTGAAAAAACAAAAGAGCGCTGCGAAAGTTGTAATCGAAATCAACATCAACATCATTTTCAAATGGCGGAAGCTTGCAAAGGATGTTTGTGCTTTTATGTCGATAAGGAAACTTAAACTAGTCCGCAAATATATATTGACCAGTATGCCTTCCTACTGGCACACCCACACACACACACACACACACACACACACGCACAGGCACGCACACAAATACACTTGTGATTCCCATTTGTATGAAGGCTTCGGCCAAGTGAGCGCGTGCTTCATTCGTTCTCCCTCTGCCTCTAGCTCTCTCTCGCTCTGTCTCTCGCATTTTTTTGGTGTACTCCACAATCGTGGGTTTCGTGGCACTCTCTCGGCCCGTGTCGGCATTCGAAGCACCGCGAAAGCAGAGTCTGGCACAGCCAAGCAAGCACAGGAAAATCCATTTTCCATTTTCCTATCCAGCACAGACAAGGCTCTGAGTTTCGAGCGGCGGACGTCCTTGTCGTGCGTGCGTCGTTTGCTCGCGCTGACGGCGTGTTTCACAGTAGAAGACTATAACAATATCTGACAAAAAAGGAAGAGGAACACTTTGAAACTTTAAGAAATTTCGGAATTGAGAATCCAAGTGCAAGAAAATTAAGTACCAAACGAGAATAATAATCTTGATTGCAAAAACAATTGTGCATACGAGCATTACACATATATTTATATAAATATATATATGCTTTTTTTTTTTTGCAACATACAGCCACATGTATGAAGTGATTTTTTTTCTGTATTTGTTGTAAACAATTTTTTCGGAAGCAAAAGTTGCGCGTGCTGTGCGGCAACGAAGAAAACGAAGAAGGCGAAGGCCGACCCAAGAGAGGACGCTGACAAGGGCAGCGGGGAGTAGTTTGTGCAATTATATGAAAGTACAACGGCATTACGAATACGAAACGAATTAAATATCTCAATAACACAAAAGCCAACTTAAACATAAACAACAGCCAATGTCAATGTGGAAGAAAGGTAAGCAACGAGAAAAGAGAAATATAAATAATATCTACATACTAAGTGTACGAGTGTATGTATATTTTGTACCCTGTGTTTTGTAAGCCCTTTAATGTCTATGTCTATGTGTGTGTGTGTGTGTTTGTGGGTGTGGGTGTGTGTGTGTGTGTGTGTATGATAACATTGGCAATGAAAATGTTGCTCTGAGCCATTTTATTTTCCTATTCATTCACTTTCATTTCATTAATTTTTTTTTAATTCTACTTTTATGCTGCTGCTCAGTTGGCAGTCAAGTCAGTCTAGTGTGTGCTACATGCATACACACGTACACACATAATACACATACATACATACAAACACAGCACACATACATACATACATAATTTATATTGAATAAGCGCTTGTGCCATAGGCAGCTGTTTGGGTCAATGCGAAAGGCAGTGCTTCTGGGCAAATGTTGCTGTTGCTGTTGTTGTTGCTGCTGCTGTTTCTATTGCTCTTGTTTGACCTGGAGCGAGCGCACACACACACACACACACACACACACACACACACACACACACGTGCTCAGCAGCTGGCCGGTTAAGTACACAGATAAACTCCACAATGGCACAGTTAATTGTAAAATAAAATCGTTAACATTTTTTGCTTTCAATTTTTATTTTTTATTCATTTAGATTTGTTTTGTTGTTGTTGTTGTTGTTTAGTTTCAAATTCTGAAAGCTTTTGCTTCTGCTGTTGCTGCTCTAGCTCCCCGTTTTAATGTTGTTGTTTCCCAACAGCGACAAGGTCGACAATTTTTGGCAATGCAGCGCAGGCACGCGCGCTCACACACACACACACACACACGCACACACAGGAACACACACACACATTCACAGACAGACACACCAACTAGTAAGCAGGCAAGAAGCAAAAAAGAATGTAATAAAACGCAAAATGGCGGCGACGTCGACGCAAAAAGGACGAGAAAACAACAAAAACAGCAGGAGCAGTAGCAACGAAAACATAGGAATAACAACAATAACAACAACAACAACACACGCACAGCAACACAGCAAAAAGTAAATGTAGAAATGCTCAAAAATTGTTTTGCGCATTTTGACTTGTGAGCGGCGCGAAAGCAAAAAGTGTGGAACAACTGAGGGGGGAGGCGGGTGGTCTGCTGGCTGGCTGGCTTGCTGGCTGGTTGAGGATGTGTAGGAAAGCGACTAGCTTTTTCTCTTTGCTAACGTTGTAGCTGCTGCTGCCTCTATTGTTGTTGTTGTGCGTTTAGCCATGGCTAAAGCCTACACACAACCACACAACCACACAACCAAACGAACGAACGAACGAGCTAACGAACGAGCACACGCACACAAAGTCATCATCAATTACTTAGCACCAGCCCCGCTCCTCCCTGCAGTTGACGCTTAACCCACAGACTAGCATGCACACAAACACACACACCCATACAATACATACCTACATACCTACATACATACACATGTATGCAAGTCTGTATGCTTGTTTGTATGTGTGTATGTATGTGTAAAAATAAGCACGTCGCGTCCTATCTGCTGTGCCTATCAAAGCTTTTGTGGCACTCTAAACCGCTATGTGTATCCCACTGTGTGTATGTTTGTACAAATGTATGTGTGTGTGTGTGTGTGTGTGTTTTTCAATGTGTATGTGTTGATAACATATATACACGTACAAATGTTTGACGAGCGCCAAGGTGGCATTGTAGTTGCTGTTGCTGTTGCTGTTGCCCATTTAAGTTTATTAGCTTATTTCGGCAGTGTGTTAAAATGGCAATGTAAGGCAAAGTTGCGAGCTAGCTGCACTCCCCCTTTTTAGCCCTTCGATGACCCCCTCACTCCACTCCACACCGATACCGACACCAACACAGACACCAACACAGACACCTACACCCACACTTACACCCACACGATAGTCCCCAATAACTGCCAGAATAGCGAATAGTCTGCAATTTCATCAGCAGTGCCAAAGGCAACCAATAAAAAAATAAATACATACATACTTCTACATATACTATATACATACATACATACATACATATATACATATGTATGTATGTATGTACATACATGCGAGTGCAAGTAGAGAGAATAACAAGAAGTCGAGACTGTTTAGCTGTTTAGTTGCCTTTTTTCGATATCCCTAAATCAACCCTGCTGGATGTGCGGCCAGTTTATAAGCTAATCCACGATATTTACTCAGTGTCGTTTTCCCATGTCACAGTTGAACTCGAACGAGCACTTAAAATTACATTAACTATTACGGATATACAAGTACATATGTTATGTATACACACACACACATATAAGCATGTGGCTCTGGCTAAGGAAACAGTCATTAGTTGCATTCATCTAATTACACTGAACTAAATTGAACATGTATAACACCTTTGATTATACAGTGAGCTATTTACTCGATATCTTGTCTTTAAGCCCTGACTGTCCCTAACATACTATAGTATACAAATTTGACTAGAAATTATTGCAAGCTCAGCATATATTCTATCTACATAACATATGATAATGCGATTCAGTAAGCACTCTATTTTTGTTTATATAGTATATGGTCAATATAGTCAGCAAACATCATTTGGCGGCAGAGTGTGGGATTCATCGAAAATAGTATACAAGTATGCTTCCTTTTCAGCAATCTAGCTAAGTAGGTTGACTATAGTTGTAATGCTTTCCGAATTAAAGGCGCTCATACAGTCAAACAGGTAGATAGGCAGACTTATTGATCTCTCTTTCTTGGTGTTACATAGAGTTCACAATCTACCTACACGTTTTATGGAGCTAAGAGCGTCCTTTTTGTCACTGAGAGAGCTCCACAGTCAAGCGAAAAGAAATTTTATCCTTTCAACTGAAATTCGAAAATTTGCAGTTTCCTAAATAGAAACATTTTCTAACTTTAAGTTCCTTCAAATATTCGTTCCCTTTCTTAAATATAAAACCGTGCACACATTAAAATGAGAAACGGAAGCGCGAATTCAAAATACTTCAAACCCCATTCTATTGACAATGGTACCTCTATTTTAAAATTGTCTTTTGAAAAGGATTTATAGAACGCCATCTACCGGCAAAATGTTCATGAAAAGGGTATCAGTTTAGATCATTTCGCACCCCATTCTGCCAGAGCTAATTATTGGTTTTCGAAATAGCACTGCTTTTCTGTATATAGAAATTCAAAAAGCACCATTTCACCCATACACCATAAAATTAGATATAAGTATGATTAGAAGAGTGCAGAATCAAGAAACTAATGAACCACATCGATGAAAAATTGTACATTTTAAATTAAAAAATTTAAATTAATTTAAAATAAAACTGATTTTTGAAGTCAGAGAAGATTTGAAAATTATGATCAAACACATTATAGATATCAAATTATCGAAAGTCGGTCTGTATTCTAACCTAGACTACTCATTTGTTGACTCAAGTGCAATCGTTACAGATCAGAAATGATGGATATTTTTCAAAAAATGCCGTCTATTTTTATTATAACATTAGAGTTTCTAATGGGAGAAATAATAATACTATTAACAGATAAAAAGTGGAAGACAATTTGGCGTACTTTCCACAGAATCTTTATCCAAATTCACAATCCCTTAATTTTATAATTAAATTATAAATATTGAAGTGTGGCGTAGAAAGCTTTACCAGCTGAAAATTGAGGCATTCTTGAAATACTAGCATTTCCTTTATTCCAGCTAAGACTCAAGACTCCAAGGCTAAACCGTAATTTCATCATTATTCAAGTCAAGTACTCATAAGAACAATTTGGGGGCTTTTCTCCAAACACGCACAAATACACGCACACACACACACACACACGCACACACACACACACACACAATCATCAAGAACAGACAATCTCCGGCTTTTCTGTGTAGTATGATGTAGTTCGCCCCCCTCATTGCTCACTTGACTCGAGGTCCAAGGAATTCCAGCTCGAGCCTTGAGAGGCCCCATCATTTCAGTTGGCCGTGCACAATATGCAATGTTCGCCTAATAAAGAGAACTTGAGCGTGGAGCTGAAGCGAGAGTGAGCGCCTGTGCCATTGGCCGTCGCTTTGTTGGCGGCAATTACCTGGAAGCCAGGCCAAGTGGCTTTCAAATCACTGGGCATGATGATGAACACGGCTGCCATTTTAACTTTCACTTGAATCGTATGCCTTTGGCATTCTAACGAAGCACATGCTTCACATGAAGACTGCTCACGCAATTCCAAGCCCCGGCTGCAGCCGGCGCACAGTGTGACGAAATATGCGGTTTCAAAGCGAGCCGATTCCAAGAATTGTGGTGTGTTTTCGCCATTGTGTTGACAATTGGTAGTTGAACCAAACAAATTATGGAAGCTGAAGACATTAATGAAATGCATATCTATGAGGTTTTATAATTTCAACTGGAAATCTTGTTTGTACAAGTATAATAAAATTTCACAAATACTACTCGTATATACTTGTAGTACGATTTCAAACGCGCTCATAGCGAAAGCAAGACGATTTTGTTCCCTTCCGATTTGAGTTTCATCCGAAATTTAGATGCGATGACAAATTACAAATAAATTACGTGCTGGGGAATGGTGAGGGGAATGTCTATTCAAATGAGAAAAGCTCCTGTTGCCTAGGGCTTAACTATAACTACTACTTGTATATACTATATACTTTTTTTGCCGTTTTTATCTCGATAAATCACAAATTGCTGATTTTTACAACCCTAGAGACTACAATACAGACTCTACATAGTCACCTACACAGACAGACAGAACAGTATGGACCTTACCTTACCAGAACCTTATGGGGCTCTATCTGAAACATAAGTACTTTTGCAGAAACCCAGTCTACACTTTTTTTAATTCTTCAGGTGCAGGGTAAGCCCGTTTGTAGCTCTGAGCTGATACGTAATTTGTTCTTTCCAGCTTATGCGTTAATAGTATTTGAAGCGCTCGTATCAATCAGTTCTATTATACAGTGCTCGAACAGTGTGGCAAATAGCTTT